GCAAGGTGTCCCAGTAAGAACATGAATACATATATATGTATACATATACATGCATATGTATTTCAAGTAAATATTACTCAAACGTGTGTTTTACATGGATTTTTACATGCACCAAAATGAAGAAAAAAAAAAAAAAAATAATAATAATAATAATAATTATATCTACGATATATATTAAAAAGATGCATATTTATTTAGGTAAAAGATAAAACAGAAAAAAAAAAACTCCATATACAACAATTATATGCATATAGCACTGTAGATAGGGAGAATTGTATAATATTTAGTACAAGTAAAATGCAAAAACAGCAAATGATATTTGTTGCCACGGTTTAATGGAACAACAACTAAGGAATAGAAAAGGAACAACGCAAAATTTCAAATGGAATAGCCACTCAAACAAGGATTAGAAGAAAAACAAAAACAAACAAAAATGTTAAGAACTAGGCATCGATTCTTAAGTTATTATTACAAAATGAAAATGTTGTTTGGTTCGTAAGTTTTTTAGAATTTGTTAATTATTGAATTTCTTTTTAAACTATTTTTTTTTTGGCTGCTGCTGCTGCTTAGCTCAAAAAACGAGTCCTAAATCTACGTTAGAGTAAGCCACAAAATGTCAACGAATTTTAATGGGTTTGTTGTAGAGTCAACTTAGGGGTCGTTATAGCCAATACGATCGAGTTGTAGGCTCAACAGACTCGTTGCACTTTAGAAAAACGTCTACTAGATGATATTCCGTCATTTTAACTTTGTATAGGGCATTTCCTAGTCGAGCATTCTCTATCAGCGCTTTTGCCGATGTTTTATCTGTTTCTACTCGGTTTGTTATACTTTTACGCATATATCTGAAATGAAGATAGATGAAAAAGGCGATCTTGTATTTATGTAGATATTTTTTTTAAGCATTAACACAAACGAAAATAAGAACATATTTTTTACGAGTAAATTTACAATATTGATGAATAAACGTCCTGAGTTTCGGCACATACGACCACAATGTTAAAAATAAAAAAAATAAAAATAATGATGTCAATAGTAAACACATAAAAATATTAACAAATATATGTATTTGACATTTCAAAAGTATTCAACTTCATAGCAATTAATGGCGTCAATTTTTTACTGTAAATATATGAATTCTATATGTATACAAAATTTATAATTCTAATAATGTAAATTTATAGTCAATTTTTGGTGCAAATTACGTACACGCGCATATTTATACACATTTGTGGGATTTTTACCGATATAGGAAACATTCGTATTATTATTATTTGTAACTTCAAATTGTTGGTTTAATGAAAATATATCAGCGGGAGAAAAATAAAATAAATTACATATAAGCAAGCAAAAACTAAAATATATACAAAAATCAAAAATTGTATAATAATTAACCAAACAACGCACTCAATAAAGAGATAATAATATATTTTAGCCTTCTGTGTACAAATTGTTAAATTTCGTACTCAACTCGAATATAACTATATAATTTAAAACTAAAAACTAAAAACCACCGCTCGACAGCGAAAAGTCTTGACAAAAAAAGCGTTAGCAAAAGAACGGGATTCGTATCTCTTATATGATTTTAAGGATTTGAATGAATTTATTTATATTAAAGGATTGTCAGAATTTCTTATGTTTATTTATATATTTGTAAACTTTACTTTAGTTTTATTTTAAAGTAAAAGAATATGAAAAATATTTATACAATACAAAACAATTTTATTTATTGTTTTCTTTCAGTTACTGAAATAATTCAAATCGAACATCATTTAAAAGCTTATTTTGGTTTTTTGAAATTTTAATTAAAAAATGTCGCTCCTGAACGCTGTTAAGCGGTGGTGCATTTAATGGTATTCAACCATATACGTTAATGTATTTAATAATATTGTTAAATATTTTTATATTTGATTATAAAATATTGTTTTCATTTGAAAGGTATTTTATGAAAAACTATTTAAAACGATTTGCTAGTTACCAGACCATGTTTAGGTGCTGGTTAAACATTTAGGTTTATGCTTTGGTAGAATTCTTAGCACACGTAAGCAGTGGCAGTCGTATTAATCCCTGGTAATGGTAGGCATGATATGACACTGAATCAGTATGATAATTTAGCTGCAAGCAAAATAAAAGACATACATACACAATACACATGCAATATACATATATACACACACTCACATATTTATATATATAGCATAAAGATACAAAACGAACTTACATAGTGAGCAACGCACTGCTATATTAAATGGACGCGCTCAAAACATGCATACATACATATATGTAGTTACATAAACATAAAGAAACAAACAGTATATACATATATGGATATAGTATATACTACATAGAGTATATGTAATTAATATACATACATATGTATACAAACATTAACGACACGGAGAGCGCTTAGTTGTCTAAATTTGTTGATGGCGCCGATATGAAATACGAGTAACTAAAATCCTCAAAACAAATATTTAAAACAAAAAAATAACTTCCTTGAAACTATTTGCAAAGATAAAACGAACTAAAGTTTAACCAAAACAATAAATGTACGAACAATCGCCTATTGTAAACTCCCACAAACATATGCATACATAACTGTTATACATACATACATACCTTCTCCTATTTAAACCAGAAACAATATACATATACATATATCTACATATACATAGTTATATAAAATGCTTCTATGGGCATTTCTCAAGTACAATGTTCTTCCCCACTCAATGAAATATGCCAGATACAAAAATATACATATGTATGCCATACATAAAGACATGCAAACATACTTAAACTATACCTACATATACTAAAAGCATATTGGCAAACGTAAAACATTGTTAATTGTTTAATGTGTTACCAGTAAATAGAACAATCCGAGTTTCGAATCGACATTTGATTGATATGCTAGAAAACCTATGCATACATAGCTAATATGTCATACATCAAAATAACATAACCTATACAAAGAACTAAACCTTAATTGTTGACAAGATCGTTAAGTATTTCAATTAGAAGCTCAATTTAAATTTAACAAAAACTAAACAACAACAAAATATCGAAATGAAAAAATACAGTTGAAATATAGTTATTAAACGTATTTACCCAGATATGAAATATTTTATTAATTTTACTTTTAAATGTCTTCAAACTAAATCAAATCAAATCGAATCAATTATATATTTCGTGTTACTTTGTGCAAATACTGTATATGAATGATGTATGCATATAAATAGTTATACATATGTAACTAAATATATTGAAGTGGAAAAGTTAATGGACTTAAATGAAAGACAAATACACAAACACACACACACACACGCTTTAAACACACACACACACACATACACACCTATATATATATACCTAGATGTAGTATATATGTACATACAAACATATATACATACCTACAATAATGTACAATAAATGTCATCTATGCTATTATATACAACTATCATTTGTGTTAACTATGACTATAATTGTTTGCAAACACTTAAGAGTTTCTTCAAACATATGCATAAATATTTATTTATTGATATGACAAATATTTAATAATGACAAACAAATAATTACATTTATTTGTGAAAGAAGAAACATAATAACTATTGCTAATATACACAACTGTTGATGTTATGTTTAGTCTATTAATGGATTTCAAAAATAAATGAATATACACACGCAAGTGCATAAATGAGTTTCGAGTTGTCAGGTCAGTCAATCATAATAATCAAATTACTCATAAAAAAATTAATTATTAACAAGTAGAAAAGTTACGGTCGTGTGGAGCCGATGGATTAATTTCCGACTAACAAAAATGGTGAATCTAAATATATATGTTTATATTTATTATTTCCTAAATCAATTCCGATTTTCCAAGTGGTATATCAGATACCTGATTTAAAAAACCTGTTGATACCGTTTTTCCGATTTTTACGATTCCAAATTGGGTTTCGTTGTTAAAAAATATTTATAATATTTTCAATCAACATAACATATTCTTCAATTATAAAATCTTTATCAAACCATTATGTATAACATACGAGTATGTGGATGGAAAGCGGACGGACATTTGGAGGGTTGTAAAAACCCAATACACACGTTTTAATTTGTAAAACAAGTGTACGTATTTATTTGAAATATAACAATAAATATTATTATAGCCACATCTATATGTATACATATGTAGCAGAAGTTAGGATACACATGGATATTGTATTAAGTTACACTTGTATATCTACTCCCACATACATACATTAATGAAGGTGATGTGTAAGTCAACTTGCATTCAACATTTCAGTAAGAGCCCAACAGGCTATATTAAAAGCTTTCGCAGCGTACAAGCCCAACTGTTAATAAGCTGCGCAGACCAAGAAAGCTCTCTCTCGCACTCACTTTGACGGCAGCGCCGTTCACGCAATGGAAAGGTAAACAAAAAGCAGAAGAAAGAATTCATGTCGAGAAAGTTATGTCAGCAATGCTGATTGTTGAATGCGCTATATTTTATTTCCATTAATATACATAGTGTATTGCTTAAATGCATTGGGCACGATTCAGATTAATTTGATTTAATATCGGAATATAGATTAGAGTAATAAGTATAGCTCCAAAATTATATTATGCAATATGCATTTCATTTTCCCATTGAATTTTTCCCCAATGTTTCCCTAATTAAATGAAGGAATCTTATATTATTTGGCATAAGATTGTTCTAAAACACAAATAATTAAATTATCATTTAAATACACATCCATAATGCCTACGCTCTAACAAGTAGGCTTACATTTTTTTTTTTTTTATACAGTTTTTAAATTTATTTATTTTATTGTCGGTCAGTACTTTGGCGAATAGCTTGGCACAGCTATTAGGCTCAACCGGAGGGTATAGAAAGCTTTCTGGAGCTGCAGCTTATTGAAGGCAGCTTTCTGCGGCAGCCACCACGGTGCTGAAGTTTGCGCTCTGCGTTTCAGTCGTAAGTTCACTGCCAAAGTGCTAGGAAGTGGCCCTTCTGGATACGTATGACTGTGTGTGTGTGTGTGTCGTAGGCGCTCGTGTGTAAAAGTTGAAGAACCGCAATCTCCAAGCACTCACGTACTCTTTCTCTCGTTAACATTCAGTCGGCGTATGTGTAAGTGTTGCCGTCGCAACCTGTTCTCCAGCTGGTTGGGTGGAGAAAAGAATTTGTTAATACTGAACTCAGCTGTGTGCCCGGCACACAGCGATAAGAATTTATGTATTTTTCAATATTGCACCTATTTATGATGGCCTAGAGTAATTATGTAACGCAGTTAATATTTTGATTTGTATTTACTGCATAATCGCTGACGAGTAATTCTAGTAGTATACTATACATAAATACATACATATAAATACCTACATATGCGCATACATATTGATATACATACATACATTAAGTTGACGCTTGTTTGCGGGAGATTAGCAATGGGTCAGCCGAACTGTTGATAAGCGTATAGCCGTTGTGTTTATTTAATTTCTTAGCGTGCTTGGGGGATGGAGATAAGTGTATTAATTATGTTATCAGTTCTTTTCAATTGTGGCGAGTGTATTTAATGTGATTTGGATATCAATTGCCTATCTCCGCAGCACTGTGCATACATATCTTAACAACAACTCAATAAGCATAAGGCAGTACCAGTTGGCCGATCACAATGTCGAATTTACCGCGTGTGGACATTGACCAGCCGAAATTCGATCAGAGCACCTATTTCGGGCGTGCCAAGCATTTCTTTTTGGTCACCAATCCTCTGAACTTATTCGCCTCCAATGAGGAACTGGAGAGGGCCCGTGATATCGTCACCAAGTACCGTGCCAACCAGCCATTGCCTGATGTCAAGTCTATCGACGAGGTGTGGAGGGCGAAGTATCTATACGACTCGGCTCACCACCCGGAGACCGGCGAGAAACAGATAATCGTAGGCCGAATGTCCGCTCAGATGCCAATGAACACATTCATCACTGCCGGTAAGTAAGCGCCACCCTCTCGGCTCTCGACTCTCTGCCCACTGCCCACGGCCCTCGTTCCGCTCTGTCCATCATATTGGCTATATTTCGTGTTTATTTGAGACCTTCAACTATTCGTTTCCGCGCTTTGATTAATAAATAACTGTTACTGTTGTTGTTGCTTCCATTTAGGGATGATGACCTTCTACAAAACCACGCGGGCGGTTGTCTTCTGGCAGTGGTTCAATCAAACGTTCAACGCCATTGTCAACTATACAAACCGTTCGGGCACCTCACCAATTAGTCAATCGTAGGTTTCCTTAGGGAAGATTGCTTATTTATTTCGGTGCCCAATTTGTATTATTGTTATGCACACAGACAACTGATTACCTCCTACTGCCTGGCAACGGGCGGCGCCCTAGCCACAGCGCTCTCCCTCAACCGTGCCGTAAAGAATATGAGTCCAATCTTTGGGCGCCTGGTGCCTCTTGTGGCGGTAGCAGCCGCTAATTGCATCAATATTCCTTGCATGCGCATGCAGTAAGTGAACTATAGAAATAGAATGGATATATCATTTTTATATTATAATAAAAATCTTCTACTTTCGCCAGGGAGCTACGCAATGGAGTTGCACTTCTGGATGCAAAGAATAAGGAGGTGGGTATTTCAAAGAAGGCCGCCTTCGTGGGCATTTCAGCCGTTGTGATTAGTCGAATCTCCATGGCTATTCCTGGAATGAGTAAGTTTCTGATTTGCCTAACTTTTATATAAATATCTGTCTAAACAATGATTGTTTGCCAGCTTTGACTCCTCTGCTGATGAATAAACTGGAGAAGAATGGCTTTCTGAAGAAATACCCCAGATCCAATGCTCCCATTCAAACGCTCTTCTGCGGCTTTATTCTGATCTTCTCCACGCCCATGGGCTGCGCGTTCTTCAGCCAGCGTGCTGCTATCAAAGTGAACGACCTGGAGCCAGAAGTGCGCGACCATCTAAAGAAGGAGCGTCCCGACTTGGATACGGTTTGGTATAACAAGGGCTTGTAAGTCAGAACAAATTAAGGTAAAAAAGAAGAGAAAATTAATAATGTAAAAGTTGAGCAAACATTTATATTGGCTAGATTTAGGCAATGTTTTCTCTGGACAATAAATATGTGTAAGTTTAAAATAGTTATCCACTCCAATTGCATTTAAATTTTTGTTAAGGTCATAAAAGGAAATTATTATTAAGTTGCGAACCTCAAATATTGTGTTGTTTATTTGAAATTTGTAAATGAGTGCGAATTTATGCAAAGTTACATTCTACTGATTTGTATCAATTTAACGAATATTAATGTGTCTCGATATTTATAAATCACAGATTTACCACATATAAAATATTGTTAATTAAATGTGTGAATATAAAAAGAAAGGTATTTTTATTATAAATTTAAATAATTTTATTGGCGGTAGTTTTTTAATGGTGATATAGCAATCAGCTTTCTAGCAGCTCATAAGCGTTAGGTTTAAAAATACTAAGCGGCATTACAATACTACAAATACCATTAAAATAGATTTGGTTACACTGCAGTGTGAAACAAGCAAACGAGTAGGCTTTTCTCTTGCTAGTATATTTTATTAAATGTGAATAGATAGTTAGTTTAGAATTTTGTAACATATCTGCAAATGGTATTTCAGTTTTAAAAAGCGCTATGTATCGATAAGTATTTCAAACTAACCGTCCCTATCGATATATCATTACTGCTAAGCGCTAAAAAATACCAAACAATGAATGGAGCGCATTTTTTAATGCAGTCAGCCGATGTTTTAAATTAATGAACTAATTACATTAAAATGGATAACGCAACGACTGTAAATAAAAGGCGCTCCCTGACGCTCAGCAGCAGATTACTGCAAAAGCGACACAGTGGTAAGTGTAAAATATTTATTTGTGTAAAAACTGTGTGAATCGCTCAACGACGCATCATCAGCTTCTCCACAGAGTCGCGTTTGCGCCAGCGCAACTCAGGAAGGTGCAAATGATGGAGGTTCTCCTTGTTCACCGAATGTGAGCATTTCCGAAAATGTGGAGAGCACTCCGCCCCACAAAAGAATGCAGATGCTAGACGACAGTCTAGATTTCTCGCAATACAGCAGCCTCTCGCCTAGCTGCTTGTTCTCACAGACTCTGGTCACCGGCAGTCCGGAAGTCAGCTGGCGGTGGCAGTGCGATAACAATGGGCGTCGAGATAAAGCGAATACTACTTCTGACAGCGGCTTCGATTCGGAAGAGTTTGGAGCAGATGCGTACAAGCGGAGGGAAAGGCGGAAACAGGTTCGTGCAGATGCCGCCAATGAGCACAGACGCAAACAGCTGGACAACCGAGAGTGGCGGGCACAGCAAATACGTGATCACGAGCTGCTCAGGGAGCGTTGCGACAAACTGCACAGACAGCTGGATCAACAAATAGCGGCGCCAGAAGCAACGGAAACAAATAGTACAAAATCAGCTGCAATTGAAGCTGTTGCGGATCCTGCATTGGCCGATTTCCTCAATGACTCGGACACTGATTGTTTTTTGCTAGAGGCCTCACAGCAACTGGAGTCAAAGGTGCAGAAGGCAGAACAAACGCCTGCTGCGACCACGCCCACCAGCCACACCAAGAAAAAGAATGAGAAACAGTGTTCCTTCTACATGAAGTTCTTGGAGGATGAGAGCGAAACTGAAGATTGGTTTGTCGCCCTCGACGAGGCCATGCTGGAGGCAACGCAGCCCAAGAAGCCGCGCACTTCATTGCAGCGTTATAAATCAATGCCCAGCAAGGCTGCTGATAATGTGGTTTCCACAAACCCAATGTGCTCCACATCCTCGAGCGACACACCCCGTATTAAGCGCCATGCCAGCAGCCATGTCCTCTCCCCGGCGACATCGAATGGTAAATGCTGCAGCTTATAACAAATCTAAACCATTTCTAATGTGTCTATATATGTTTGTATTTTTAGCAAGGAGCAATCTTTTTGGCAGACGGCAGTAAAGCCTTAGACAATGTGCTTACGCCCACAATAAACTGTTCCAACGGCTTCCCATTTTCGAATACCAAATGTGATGCGCAAAAGTTTCGCCCGCCTTCCTATTTCTCAGATATTGTTGTCATTGAACATGTATACGTTAACTTAATCCATATAGTCTTAAGATAAATATGTAATTAGAATTGCAGCTCAATTAAAAGATAATTTTAATTCAAAGTGCCTCTCAATGGCTATCGCACTAATTGCATCCTTTAAAGCGCGCTGACAGGATGCTAACCATATGCTTGCGAAAAGGGATTTGTGCAGCTGGTTCAATTGCACCTGATAGAGCAATCACTGATACCCTTTACCGGATTAGTTTCCAGTGGCTCAATGGCAGTGTGAAAGCAGCTTAGAAGCGGAATGCAGCTTAAAATGAATCAATTTTATCCGAAATATAAAAGGCAACACAATTAGAGCTTAATTTAAATAAATTTAAATTAGATTTACTTTTTTACTAAAACTTTAGATATACAAATTATGAAAATTCAAATATCATTCAATTTTAATGGTTGTTTTATAACCTATATTAAAGATTTTGTAAATGTTTAACATAAATTTAATTTCGCTGAAAATAGTTATAAAGTAATTTTTAAAAACAAATTCTACTCATGCAGTCTGTTCGTAGATGAGCTCTATATTGTATTTATGTTGTATTTACATGTTAAAAACCATATAAATGCTTCAAATGTTGCAAGGAGATACCACAGAAACATGTTTGTTTCATCATTGGCGTTGATGGATATTTAAAAGTTTTAAATGTTTTGTACATTTGCTGTTATTAAATGTGACTTACCTGGAAATGCATGTTAATTACTGGCCTTTGAGGGGCACTGTAAGCTGCAGTTTAAGTTGACTGAAGCTGGAACGTTTCTCATTTGAGCGTCTTAATGCATGCTTTCGGCCATACGCCACTAGATTGGGGCGAAGGTCAAAGTTGAAGCTCTTTTCAGCTATTATTCGCGTAAGAAGCAATTCACAAACACAGCCACAAACATATACGCGCACATGTACGCACACACATACATATATATGAGTGCGTATGTACTGAGTTTTGTAAAATGCAATGAATCTAGAACATAAAGTATGCTGCCATATGTTGGCAATGCGCAGCATAAGCCAATCGCAGCCGAGCAACAAGCCGAGCAATCGAAAAAAACAAGACAGAATAGGCAACAATAGTCATCTTGGAGCGAGGGGAATATGGTATTCAGGGGGGATGCAAAATATGGTAGGAGGCATTAGCAGCGGGTCAACCAAATTGGTGACGTCTACAAAGCGCAAACCGAGCTGCAAAAGTAACAACAAAGTCGAAGTGAACACGGAGAGCTTGAGCCCAAACTGAAGGAGCAGCTGGGCGTGCGAGCAGCATAGCACTAGTGACAAATGAAATGCACTGTGTGGGCGCCAACTGTCAAGGGGTGTGAGCGAGAGCTTGTCGCAGAGCTTTCGGTGAGCTTTTCGCGAAATGCTTTTGTATGGTGCGTAGCCTTACGTATATTCATAATGGCGTCCACAGCCGAGACTGGCAAACAGTTTTCTGCGCGCAACGCCAAAGCAAAGTTCGTGGCAGCGCATAACAAGGCACAACTCACAGCAGCAACGCAGCGCAGACAACAACAAATTGTATAGAGAACCAGTATAATAAGGGACAAAATATTAACTCAACGACGTGGAGCTAATTGCCCAAGCAGTTACGCAGCGCATAAGTTTCAAGTGCTGCCGGCTCTTGAACGATTTGTCAATAACAAAGAATTTACGAATTCTAATTGTGTGTTTAGTGAAGCGCGGTCTTTATTTTTGCTATTCACCTCCCAAAAACTCCCGCTACTGCTTCAGTCAGTCAAAATCGTGTGCACGAATTTGTGGCGCCAGCGTTGCCCCATCGTCGCAATTATTAACTGAGCCGCAAATAGAGTCCAAAGGAAAAGAGCCGAAAAAAAACTAGGAGCACGAGCAACGACTGCGAGGCGAAACGCGTGAAATGTTTATTGTGGCAGCTGCATGGAGCTTTGCTGCTTCATGGCGACTGCTATGCATCGGGATGCTGGCGCTGGCGACGCTCCTGCCGTTGGCTATCGCCGAATCGGAGTCAGCTGCCCGTGGCCACGGCGGTCAACCTAATCATGCCGTCTTCACCAGCTCATTTCTGGTGCGCTTCCGTCGGGGCGTTGACAATGATTTTGCCCACAAGTTGGCCGACAAGTATGGCTTCGAGAATCTGGGACCGGTGAGTAATCAGTGGCCACAACACAGTACAGTGAATACTATATAGAGACACTCACACATATGTCAAATAAGTGTCGAGAACGTAAATATATCTAATTCAAATAATTGCATGTTAATGGAATATACCAAAATATTGATAACGAATGTGAGCTCTGTTCACACTCTATGCTTGTCCTTAGACAAGCTGATCAGAGTTCATCATAGGCAGAGTTTTTACGGAAATTAACAAAAACTGTATAGCATTCAGCATTCGTCTATTTCCGTCAACCAAGTCGAAGGGATCTATGCCCAAGGGAGCTGTGCGCTCGTCGAGCTTTCACTGTACTCTTTACTTATTACAAAAGCCAGTCAAGTCAGTTGGTCGTTTGCTGTGAAAAATCAATTATTTTATGTTCCGACGGCGTCGGCATGTTTTGCAGCCCAAAAGAGACAACCAGCAGCTAAAACAAGCTGCAATCGTCAAGGGCTGTTAATTATTGTGACTGCTTAAGTGGGTGTTCATGTGAGTGTGTCTGCGTATGTGTGAACGTGTATGTGTGTGTGGGTGAGTGTGGGACGCGTGCTTGGTATACAAAGCATTATAAATTCAGCTACAACTGTGGCGACCATCACCCGGCTGGCGCTCAAAAAAAATTCCATTGCATACTGTCCGGGCGCTATATTTCAAGCATTTTGTGTTGCATGTGGCAAACGGGCACAAGGCCAACAACTACGGGCAACAACTTTTCTTTAGAAGTATAACAAACCTAACATGCTGATATGTCGAACATAGCATTCACTAACAACAACAACAGCAACAACAACAATGGAAGCCATCAGA